AAAAAAAACGACCGATCCGGGAACGCCTGAAAAGGAGGCTGACTCATTTTGGTGTTCCACGAATACCTTGGTTTTTGCTGCATAGACGAAGTGCTGTCCGGGCGTCTTTTTCTACAACCCAATGTTGAAGCTGTTAAAGAAAAGGCGGCAAAACCCGAGGGTAAGTCTAATCAGAATCTAATTAGAGTATGATAGAAGAAAATTAGTGTGCCCTATGATGATATGAAGGAAGCGTAACCTCCTTGCTATAGTCAATAGAATTATACACGTTTATAAATATTCAGCGCCGGGCCCCAGAACAAGTTTATACTGAACGGAAGAAGATGACCCAAAACAAGAAAGCGACACACCTGTTTTTGATAATGTTTATGTTGATAATGTTTATATCGATGTTTCTTGATACATGTAACGTATACGTGCACAGGTATACGTGAGAACACTAGGGTGAAAGGTCCGGGATCTTTCTTTACTCTTGAAAAGAGCTACCTCCGGCACGCCGACTGCTATTTTGACCCAGTACTCTTCCTATCAGCATCAGCATAACTTCAGAACGTCTTTATGGATTGGGATGATATTTGGTATACTGGTAGGCCTTAGGAAGCCAAAGGTCAATGTCAAATATGGGCCTCCTGGTGGCTGACCTTAGTACTGCAGAAGAACTTCCGGTTTTTGTATCTTTTTGCAAGGCAGGGAAACAGATGTGCGGATTATGCAACAAAACACCAGCTGACAGAGAGTTCCTCTAACGCAGCTCAGTTTAATTAATGAGGTTCCCCCCTTGGAATAAGCTACATGTACAGTTGACCCCTGAGTTGACCAGACCTATTACAGCCTGACCTATTTCAGGCCAAAGGTGCTACTGTGTTAGCAGAAAAGTGTTTGAAAACAAAAACCTGTGTTATTTTGTTGGGTACTGCAGTGTACTGTGTAAAAACATTTACAAAAACTCATATAATTCATGGAGGTATGAGATCTCCAAATTCTTGTTTTTTATGTTTACAGCAGCTTCAGAACCAGGGAGGAAAGGATTGGATCGTTGGCAGCCCGATGTAGGGGCAGGGCCCAGTGGAATCAGGACCGAAACAGCGGCAACAGGTGGAATTTTTTCTTATACATTACAGACATTTTGTAAGGTGTCTAGACGTGTCTCATTGCCTGTTTTCTAGCCTGCGTCGAACATCCGGGAGGTGCCAAATGAAAACCTCTGGCACCTCCCGGACTTTATCGGGCCTTACATACATTTTATGTTCATCACTTTATTTTTAGCACTAACATATGCGAAAAAACTGCCATTGGTTAGTTTGTGAACAATTCTAACCTTCCAACCTACCACAGCACCTGCAAGAGAATCAACCCAGTTCCGTTAGTTTCTGTCCTGGATTTCATCTCCCCTAACTTGTCACATATAATTTGCAGAATTAGACAGGCAGTTGAATGATGTTGCTGACCATCTCGGCTCCACCTGGGCCGAGTTTGAACAATGGGAACGTCTGGCTTTATCTCTCGGCTTCAACACTGACTACATCCGGGACCTGAGCGCCAGACTGACCTTCTGGGAACGTCCCCGCCAGCTGATGATGGACTGGAAGAACCGTAACGCTGGTGACGTCACTCTGGACCAGCTGGTGCAGGCTCTGAAGGATGCTGGGATGTACGAGGTTGCAGGTGATCTTTCTTCATGATTACAAGTGCATGATACAATGTTTAGGCGCAGTAAAGCAAAAAATATCAAAATTCTCCAATTACGTTAGTTTTTATTTGCTCAGCTAGTTCTTACTGCTTGAATTTTATTTAGTTACTATTTACCAACAAACATACATGTATTTGATGTTCCATGAATACCATCGTAATTTCTTGCCCCTGATATTTTGCTGTTGTTACATAGACGAGGTGTCCTCAGGGCGTCTCCTAAAGGTGGATGTTGAAGCTGCTAAAGAAAAGGCATCCAAACCTCAGGGTAAATCTAGTCAGACATTTTCATAGCTATTTACAAACGTAGTATGTAAAACAGACATCATATTCTTTTGTGGTTAGCGTATGGTGGTTATAAAGGTTTTAAAATCATACTTGTGATTCCTCACTTCCCAAACAAGTTTGTGTTCTGCACTGAACGGAGGTATATGACCCAAAACTAGAAAACTAAAATTACGCTCTCAGCACAAACATGTTTTTCTCGCTTATTGTTGATGATGTTCGTTTTAATGTTTCTAGATATGGTAATGGCACAAGGGTGAAAAATCCGGGATCTTTAATTCTTAGAAGATCTGTCACGCCGGTTCAGTCAGTTTAAATAGACTTTATATTAATCTGCACGAAATGGGACGGCACTTTTTTTAATGTTTACAGCTACTTCAGTGCTGGGAAGGAAAAGATCGGATCATTGGAAGTTCCATGAAGGGGCAGGGCCCAGTGGAATCAGGGCGGATGCAGCGGCAACAGGTGGACGTCTGGATTTAAGTCCTTCCTCTTCCCCCATCAAAAAGTTACTGGAAGTAGGAAAAAGGATGTTTGGTGCACTGTCATCACCTACAATGCATTGCAGGTTTGCGACGTACACCAAGTCTAACGCAAATGGTGTGGAGTTCCATGTTGTCTGTAGAGACAAGAGCGTAAAAACAGATGAGTACCTCCCCGGCTTTACCAAGTGTGGAAGCAGTGCAGCGGTGTTCGATCTTTTCCATGGGGATGAACTTGACATCACTGTTAGTGTCCGTGCAGGCGAGGACAAGTCCGTGCATATGAAACTACAATCTACGCTGTGCAACGGCCAATATGGCCAAAACGTTCAAATGTTGCTTTTCAGACCTAAAAGTGGAAATCGTGCCAAGGGTTTGGTGACTGTCAACAAAGTGTCTTCAAATCGGATTGTATCTCAGTTCACTTTTAAGGAGGTAAGAAGTGGTCGTAGCTGTTGGTTCACATGTTTAAGGTTACCTAGTGTTATCTAAACTGCTCTAGAATTGAATAGTAAATGTTGCAACCGTAGAAAACAATGTACGGCAATGATAATTTATCACAGTTCAGTTTTCAGCATCTAACATACATGTCTATCAAAACCAAGGTTACTGTAAATGTGCACCAAACAGTAGAATTTTGAATGAAACTCGCCATGTTATTGCTATTTGATTCAAGTAATATTAATGTCAATTCTTTTTTTGTTTCTCTTTTCAGAAAAGTGATACCTTTCAAAGTAAGTACGCGTTTTTTAAAAATGAATTTGTGAAACTTTCAACTTTATTTTTGGACATCCCTTAGACTGAGATTTATGAATGCTACAAAGCAGCAATCCAAGTGTATGATTTTGCTACTTTTTTAACGAAGGTTTTTAGAGATTGAAAAATTCTCTACACACCATTTTGTCAATTCAGCTCCTTAGCCACAGCATTTGAAAGGAACTTAAACATATACCATATTCACACATGTACTGTAGTTGTGCTTGTATTCAATGTTTAACTTCTGCGTCGATGGGAACTAAATATATGCATATTTCTACAAGACATGAAACACTTTTTGTATGAATATAATGATATGTATAATGAAACAGCATCAACCCTCTGTCTACCACAGTGCCAGGAAAGAAAAGAAGATCAGAAAGTCAGCAGGGAGATGATGGAGCAGGGCCCAGTGGGGCAGGTTGGTACACACAACCAACAGCTGCAGGTAGGAATTACCATTTACTTCTCTTTCACTACAGCCACTCTTTAAAGTACCTGTTTCCTTCCCTGTGTTATTTATATGTCTAGGGCAATCACGAACATTTCAACATTAAACTTGATGACTCATTCTATATCACTGCAATGCACTATTTTCTTCACCTTGACTTGCATCATCCTTATAATGTGATGTTTGTTTGCTGCCAGCCTTGAGCATGTAGATCTCCAACTTTAACAATTGTGTTGATGTAATAAATGGGGTTGCTTAGAGCAATGTTCTACGTCATGATGACCTCATTAACACATTGTTTGGTTTATATTATACACTTTACCTGTTGTATAATGTTTACAAAACTTTATAAAATCATACATATATTATGAGATCAGTTCGTCTCGTATCAATTTATAAGAAGTGTTTGTGCCTTTTATAATCATGCCTTTAGTTTTACCCAGAACTTTTATTTCAGTGATTTATTCATGTTTGTTACAGCTGATATGCAGGTATTTTTTGAGAAAGTCATTGCTGGAGTCAGTCACAAGTGGGAAGACCTGTCCCGGAAACTGGGCTTCAGTGAGAAGCAGATAGATGGAATCCATTCCTCCAAGATAGACCAAGACCGCAGGTGCAGGGAAATGCTGCGCAGGTGGAGGAAGATGAAGGGAATGGAAGCTACTCTACAGGTTCTGAAGCAGGCCCTTGTCGACATAGATGAACGTCTGACTGCAGAGAGCTTGTGAGGTGTGCCTTTGAAACTTTCTACTACAGAAATGTAATTCAGACACCACTTCATGTTGTACGTCTACTATTTGCTAATAAAGTCATATCAATTCAATCAATTAATTGCGTGCTTTCTTATAAGCACTAGTATACCAATTCTATAGTTTATATATATTAGGCTTAACACGATTAATATTGCTGTGACTGATGCAGAAAACTAGTGCACATGTTCCCTCATGCGTTCATATCCTACATCTTGTTTTTTCAGTGCCTGATGGTGGGAGGCCCGACCGTCCCAAAGGCGGCAATGACTTACAGAATGGACGGTTTATAATGACTATATTGTATCAAAGTATCACATATTTTACACAGCTCTTTATAGCGAATCATAAGACATGTTTTACCTGGATATCAAAGTTGAAAATACCAAACCTTGTGTACTTGAACCATGTAACAAAATGATGTTAATGTCAAGAGACTTAAAGTCTGACAAGAGATGGTTACTAAAGCCAGCAAGCGACTTTTCTTTATCAGTAGACTACGCCGTTCTGGGGTTCCAAGTACTGATCTGGTCTCCATCTTCTGCGGTTACATCAGGCCGACACTTGAGTACGCCGCCCCCTGTTGGAGTACTGCGCTGACACAGAAACAGTCCGCCCTAGAGCGCGTTCAGAAACGCGCCTGCCGAATCATTCTGGGACGCAGGTACAACTAGTACACCTAAACCCTAGCGCTACTCGACTTGCAACGTCTGGCGGATAGAAGAGAACACTTGTGCTCTGACTTTGCCGCGCCGTGACAAGCGTGGAAATGTCTTCACGCTTCCGCTCCTGGCTTCCCCCTACCCGTGGTCAACAGCATGGCAGAAATCTGCAAAACACCACTAGGTACCAGCAGCCCTCCGGCCGGGACTAAACGCTACACAAGCGGGATTCCTGCCCTGGTCAAACGTCTAAATGAACTGTAGACCATGAACTTTTACTCGTGAACTCGTACAGTAATTCCACATCGTGTTTTATTTACTTTCCACACGGCTATATTGTATGTCGATTTTAAACTAATTTTCGCTTTTAAATTTAACTATATTTTTAGATTTTATGAATGTACACAGCACACCATGTTAGAATAAGCCTCGCAATTCAGTCATCATAGCTGCCAGGAGGCTTGTGTGTACATTTTCTTGTTCTTGCAATAAACCATTCTACTACTACTACTACAAGAGCGTTAGTTTATTGTTTCCTTTGTGCAACATTTAAAAGCCAACTTATGCATTGTACATAGCATGACAAAACACTCTTTCCCTGTTCTTGGTGGGCAATCATTAAAGTTGGAACAATTGTTTTAAGTTGAATTTTGCAAAAGTACAATCGTGACATCATCGACAATAAAATGTTACAGATTCCGCAACCGACCAAAACCAGACCTAAATGTACCGCCCCTTTTGGCAAGACTGATCAACTTTCACGACCGTGACCGTGTTCTGAGGGCGGGGAAGGAGTGCAGAGGAACAGGTATCGCTGAACATTTCCCCCCTCTCATTCAAGTGGGTGAGTTCCGCGCGGTTTCCGAAGGCGATTGCAGACAGGTGCCGACGTCACCCTAAAATCGGGTTGCGAACGGGTGCCGTTGGTAGGTTATCTGTCTATTTGTCCAATCTATATACTCTTTCTACCCACTTCTAAAGCCTGATGGGGGCTAAGTCCACCCCTGGGTAACCCTTGTGGGTGACGCAACATTTTGGTAAATGTGGTTCCCAAGGACGCGTTGACTCTGGACTTAATCTCTTCCTAGATTCAAAATATGTTACTTTGCGTTTTAAACCAATGGCAATGCCCTTACATAATTAGTCCCATGACAAAACGCAAGATTGTAGGAAAGTCGGTGAACTTAGAGATGACGACAGTCACTCGGTCACGTTCGCCAGTACGTACACATTACCTCCCGCGGACTTAATCGATTTTTTTAAATGTTGAGCTTCTTTTGTAGTCGGTAAACAAGTTCCTGACGCTCAAGACGCAAAACCAGACCGCAGCCCTGTGTGACAAGATGAAAAAGCTTCTTGTGCTCGGTGTCGGTAGCTCTTTTATCGGGATGGTTTTGCTCGTTGTGGGGATAGCGACGGTGGGGTGGCTGTCTGTTGACCTGGGATTTGTGAAACGTGAGAGCGGACTGTGGCAGGCGTGTACCACACGGTACGGCGGTACAACGAGCTGTGCAGCCTACGGTAGGTAGCAGAGTATACCTACCAAAATATGATCTACTTTATATTCATAATTATACGTAAGCCGTTTTCATGCCACATATAGACTTCCCAACAACAAGTTACAGATAAAATGCGATACGATAATGACAAAGGGTCATGTATCTACAACCGTGCTTTACACAGATCGCACAGAACAGAACCTGAGAAAGATTGAAATTCTTAGATACTATTCAGAACTGTGCATGGGGCAAAACTAAACCCTTAGATGCGCGGAGATTATCTAGAACCGTGCCTGATCCTACCCCCTACCCATTCAGGCATAGAACTAGATAGGTACGGTGATGGATAGGATAGATCTTGATAATAATTACATTAAGGCAATCACACTTTTTTTTCTTGCCGAATGTTCTTTGCCCCATCACAAGGTCGGGTGCAAGGTACGGAATAGATGTTCCTTACAGTGGACGGTTGCGTTGACAATCAAATAAAGCTGCCCCAGCCGAAATGTACATATAGACACAAGGCGTAGTTAAATAATTGCACGAAAAGTTGGGTTTATCATCGATAGTGGCTGCCGGTAAGACGATAAGCCGATAATGTTTACTTTCTAATAGAAAATTAGATTACTGAACTTAACGTTTCTTTACTTGTACCCGTATTAGACTTGCTACTGGAATTTGCTACCATTGGTAAATCCAAATTTTAGTGCAGTGATTCTAACGCAGAAGAATTGCAGGTAGCAACTGTAGCATCGGCATGGAATGATTGTTGAGGAGACAGTTTTCGGCGATAGCTTCAGCTACATATCATTAATTGACAGCTCATACCTGAGGACTTTGCATGTCGATAGTGCTCTAACCTATGTGATAGTAAATGTAGTAAATAGCCTGCCCTTTTCTGTAGATATGAGTCTGCTGAGCCGTAATGACCACACATACCGTGCGTTTGCCGTGATCGGAGCTATACTGGCCATCTCCGGTGTATTCACCGCATGTTGCGGAGAGGGCTACGATGCTGACAAAGGCAAGAATGGCGGCGGTGGCTCCATGATTGCTGCAGGTATGTTCAACTCCGCTATGCAAACATTCCATTAATGCTTTGAAATACTGAAATGCATCGAAGGTGTTAATTAAGGTTTTGGTTTCCAGCCCCTCAGTTGAGAATGTTATTGGCGTCTACATTTTTGCAATTGAGGAGGAGGGGGGGGGGGCACTGACCTCCTGGCATGTTCGTTAGGTCACGTGCCCGAAGTGTTTGCAAAGGTTCTAGATCTGTTTTTGTTAAAGTTTATGTGTTTGCAGAAGTAACCCACGGTGGTTTTCCTCGATTTTTTGGCATATGATTGCTCGTTGGAATCCAGATGATACGGATTGTTACCTTCGCCAAGAATTGGAGAAGGTTATGTTTTCGTGGCCGTGTGTGTGTCTGTCTGTCTGTGTGTGTGTCAACAGCATAACTCGAGAAAGCTTAGATGGATTATCTTGATATTTGGTAGGTGGGTAGGTCTTGATGAGAGCTCGAACTGATTAGATTTTGGGGCCCCTGGCGGCTTGTCATGGTACTGCAGCTGAACTTCCGGTTTTGATATCTCATGATCTAGACAAGCTAGGGTGACGAAATTTGGATGGCAGGTAGCTCTTGTGCTGGGGAAGAAGTGACGTGAGTTTGGGCCCCCTAGCGGCTTGCTCTGGAACTACAGGGGGGTTTAAAGGACAAATGTTTAAAGGAGGATAACTCAAGAACCGATTGATGGATCATCATGATTTTTGATATGTAGGTAGCTTGAGTAATGCTTGACATAATGATATTACAATTATGCAAATATGGATGTAATTTGCATAATTAATGAGGAAATTCTATTAATCAGCTGCATTCCATGATAGGAAGTTCAAGCTTGCGACATATGTTATTACCACGAAAGAAACACAGGCAGATATCGATTATGCAAATGAAGACTTAATTTGCATAATTAATGAGAAAATGTTATAATTGCATAGTGGTAACTGCCTGGAATTTTATACTTGGGGTGTTTGAAGTTTAGTGAAGGTGAACATAATTTAACATAACTTATTCAAATAAGGACCTCATTTGCATAATATATGAGGAAATGCTATAATGACATTCTTTGTTAAAATAAGACTGTTGGTGGAGATTATGATCAACAGATATAATTCATGCAATTGCGGATGCTATTTGCATAATCAGGGGGATTAATACATTGTATATAAGTTCTTATTCATAAAAGCTAACATCATTTGGCGAAGGTATGAGATCGTGGAACTCTAGTTCTAAATTGTTTCATCCTATTTGTTGTAGAATCTAATGTTTAATTGAAGCAGGTAATTGAAGCAATTGGACATCCAAATGAAGTAATCGGTGTGATAGTCTTTCAAATATTAGAGATTAATATGAAAGTGTGTGCTGTTATATTACTATACTTCCCGGAACTGTGACATTTTAGATCTCTTCTTTTCCTATAGGTGTTTGTGGTATGATCGCGGCTGGCGTTTTCATCCTGGGTAGCGGGGGTCTGTCGATGGCGTCACTGTACGGCTACTCCTTCTACCTGACCTGGATTCAGGCGGTCTTCACGATCGGAGGAGGAATCGCCATCATTGTTGCCGGGGGATCTGCAACAGTGCAACCTGGTGGCGAGGGCACCACAACAGTGCAACCTGCTGACGGGGGCCCGGCAACAGCGCAGCCTGTGTGAGAGTATGTCTTAAAAAAAGGATCTCTGAGAAGTGCCTATGTTTTGCAAAGTAATTTTTTGGTCTGTTGCATTTGTGTGTCAACGACCTGCCAAGTTTTACAATTGGAAATAAACTTTATGGATAAACACAACAATAAAGGTATTGATTGTGGCTGAGCAGAATGCAATCAATGGTTTGGTTGATCTTTTAAATAGAACCTTTTTTTTTCTTTTCTGTTCTCTTTTTTCAGTGACAGTGCAGTTTGTGCTGTCATTTAACTTCTTAAAGGGCACATTTAACAAGATTTATTTGTAGGTGCCTTCTTGGAGGAAAGGCACTCCTCTAATGCCAGGGTGACCAGATTTTTACTTTTCTCTCTGTTTTCGTTACGTTTTGCTGAGTAATATGGACCTTACTTTGCTACGTAATATGGACCTTACTTTGCTATGTAATATGGACCTTACTTTGCTAAGTAATGTGGACCTTACTTTGCTAAGTAATGTGGATCTTACTTTGCTAAGTAATATGGACCTTACTTTGCTAAGTAATATGGACAGCTACTCACATACCATGCTGGTACCAATAACCTGTCAGATGAGGACGACGAGCAGGACTTAAAATGCCTCCAGAAGGAAGCGGGAAAGCTGTGCGCGATCGTGACTGTCAAGTCAAGTCAGCCTAGAGCTACTTACCTACACTAGCTATTTGCGGGATATGCCCCAGGGCGGATAGTCCTGCCAGCCGCGAAAGGTGAACCTGCAAACGTCACCCTACGAAAAGTGGCGAAGGAACATCGAGTACTGTATATTGACAATAAAGACTCATTCTTGTTAACCTCAACGACCAAATCTATACATCACTGTTTGACAGAGACCTGCTACACATCAACAGAAGGAAAGGGCCGGCACGCCTAGTCCCCAACATCAATGAATGTGTACCCATCGTCAGTACAGTTAATACTACGCTCAACACTGTGCAACACACCAGCCAGCCGAAGATGGTTCCAGAGTGACGATTAGGCCATGTTGATTTCATTACATGTATATGGATGACATCCGCGCGCGCATGAATTTTCGGCCGTTTAAAAAAAAAGTTTTCAACCATACTGTAAATCGTACAAAACAGTTGCAAAATGAGCAAAAATATACCGTAAGTTACAAAACAACCATACCAATGTCGTAGAATGCCAAAATCAAACGAAAAAAAAAGAAATTGTAAAGAAATGAACTTGAAGACTAGATTATTCGCCAAACCATATTCTGTCCCATTTGTTCAACCCTCATGACCACGTAGATTTCATAATAAAAACAACTTTTTTTTTGCAAAACCTTTTTTGTATTCGCACGCGCGCATCAATTTTGGGGTTCCCGGAGGATGTCATCCATATAATCAAATCAACATGGCTTAGGGACTGATCATGAGGCCATGGCAGCCGCCGCCTGCAGTACCATGCCCACCTGCTAGTTGGATGAGCTACGCATACTCTAGTCGGGGACAGACGTCCGGACAGTGGCAACATTCGAGACGTTACAGCCCACCACAGACTTTCCACACAGCCTGACCATGGCGGATCCCGGGCGAGCCACCCTGCCACTGCTGTGGAGAATCAGGACATGTGACTAATGTATGTAGACACGGAGGCCCTATAAGGTACAAAGCTTGTAACCAGATGGGCCACAAGGCGAGACTCTGCAACTTCTGATACCCAGGCAAAGAAGAAATTGCCAAACCACATAAGAAGAAGATCCCATGTAGACACTTATTGTAGGACTTTCCGATACACACCAATAACAGATTTGACATTCTGAATCACTTAGAAGGCGACAATGCTTATGGTGAAGTCAGCTACCTACATGTATATATGTCAGAAATATCTCTAAAAAAACGAATGGAGCAGGGAGAAGAAGGAAAATAATGCGAAGGGGAAAGGGTGGAAAGGATTGAAAAACACGCTTCATAAAGGCAAGATTGGCCTTGAATAATGTAAGAGGGACTGGGCCTAAAACCACGGAGGCAGCACGCCTGCTTAAGTCCCAAGACATCAACATCTTTGGCACTTATGAATCATTCCTGTGCAATGAAAGACAAAAAAAAACGGTTTTAACTGGGCGGTCCTACAGCGGTAAGTAACTGGAGGGGGGGTGGCCTATTCACAGGACGACGTATCTTCTGAAAGTGAGAAGAGTGGCGCAGAGGGGATGAGGACGATTTTGGAACCCAACAGCAGACGACACAGAAGGCTGTCATCAGTCATCACAGGAGAGCACGGAGAACAGAGTGCGTCTTTCATAGAAAACCATCCGGCTTTTTATGATATAACCACCCCGGACTTTGAGAACAAGTTGAAGAAGGGCAGTTGGTTAAAGGATTCAATTGGACTGACGCGTAAGTTTATGACTAAATAAACTTAACTTCATATGCAAATTTAAGTCTTCCTGCCTTGAAATATCATAATTCTTTTGAATGCCAATGAAAATATTTCAAACACGGGGATTCTTTTACAAGTTAATCTTACTTGTTAATCGTACCTTTAGTAATAATTGAAATACTTTCGTAAGACGTACGATAGTATAATGACGATGTAACAATATATAGTATGAATTCAGCATACATGTAGTGCTGCAAGATCTGTTGTAGAGTAAACCATTTTCCATTGATTGATTGAAAGACTTCCTATGTATATTACTTAGACTTAGTTCCTCCCGTGCAAGGCACATTGGGCAGCAAGTCTTCTCCACTCTGCTCTGTCTTCGGCGAGGGACTCGGCATCCTTCAGTGTTATCCCCCTGCTTTCCAGATCTTTTTGAAGGGTACGTCGCCATGTTAGTTTAGGCCTCCCTCTTTTCCGTTTGCCCTCTGGTTTCCAAAACACAGATGTTTTGGTGTGTCGGTCTGAGGTCATCCTGAGGACATGTCCAGCATATCTCATCCTCCTCTCGGTGATGGTGATGCTGAGTGGTTTTGTACCAGTTCTGTGGTATACCTCCTCGTTGGTAATCCTGTCTCTGTATGTTATGTGTAAAATTTTGCGGAGGCATCGTTGTTGGAAGGCATCCAGCTTGTTCCGCATTCTTGTTGTTATCTTCCATGTTTCACATGCATAGAGTGCAGTTGGTATTACTACTGACTGTAGCAGCTTGGTTTTCAGCACTCTGGATATCTTCCCACTGTTCCACACTGGGTTCATCCTTCTGAGGACTGATGCTGCCTTACCTATGCGGGCACTGATGTCTGTGTCTGTGTCCCCTTCTGCTGTCATGGTGCTTCCGAGGTATGTGAACTGCCTTACGTTTTCAACAGGCTCTCCACTGATGTGCAGGTTTGTGTTCGTTTGTTGATCTCCCACCTGCATAACTTTGGTCTTCTGGCAGCTGATCCTTAGACCCACTTTCCCCGCTTCTGTACCTGCTGATGTTGTCATGTCCTGAAGAGTCAGCTGAGACTCTGCTGTCAAAGCAATGTCATCGGCGAAGTCTAGATCCGTGAGGCGTCTGTCCCCCTCCCAGGGTATTCCAAAGTCACTTCTACCCATTGCCCTGCGCATTACAAAGTCTATGGTGACAGTGAACAGTAGGGGAGATAAGACGCATCCTTGTCGCACTCCGGTGACGATGTCAAAGCTGTCGGTGTACCCTGCGTCTACCTTTACACAACAGGTGGATCCCTCGTACAGGCTTTTAAAGGCTTGTATGAATTTTCCAGGAACACCATACACCTTAAGTATTTTCCAGATCGAGTCTCTATGTACACTATCGAATGCTTTTTTAAAATCGATAAAATTTATCCATACAGGCTTCTGGAATTCAATACTCTGTTCAATGATGTTGCGCAAGGTAAGTATCTGGTCCATGCAGGATCTGCTGGGTCGAAAGCCGGCTTGTTCCTCTCTGAGTTCTTTATCTACTGCCTTTCTTAGTCTATTTAACAATACAGAACAGAATACCTTTCCTGGTATTGAAAGTAAGGTGATCCCTCTCCAATTTCCACAGTCGCTTAGGTCGCCCTTTTTAGGTAACTTCACTATGGCGCCTTTTCTCCAATCAAGGGGTGTCTTTCCTAATTCCCAACATGTGTTGCAAAGCTTGGTGAGTTTCTTCAGCATGATATCCCCCCTTTCTTCAGGAGTTCAGCTGAGATCTGGTCTATTCCTGCAGCTTTATGATTCTTCAGGTTTTTGATTGCATTTGCAACCTCATCTTCTGTGATGTTGTCACAATCTACATCCAACTCGTTTCCGTCAACATCTGGGAAGGTGTACACCTCTTGTGGTTCAGGTTGGTTTAGTGTCTCTTTGAAGTGTTCTGCCCAACGCTGGTTCTGTTCTTCCTCTGACAGTAGGGTTTTTCCATTCTTGTCCTTTATGGGGACTCCAGTGCCACTGTTGGAACCACTGAGGTCTCTGGCAATCCTGTAGAGTGTTCTTGTATCGTTTCTGTCAGCTGCCTTTTGTGCTTCTGTGGCTTTGTTCTCTAGCCAGGTGTTTTTGTCTATTTTACAGTGTTTCTTTACCTCTTTGTCTATCTTCCTGTACTCTTTATTCCTTTTGTTTTGTCTCTCCCTGTGTCTTTGCACTATCTCTCTTTTTCTTAATTTCCCTTCTAGTATCAATGCGTTTCCATGTGTCTGGTGTAATCCAGCTCTCTTTCCTTGTTCCTCTTTTCCTTCCAATAACAACCTTCGCAGCTTGTGTAATTGTTTCAAGTAGGTCTTTCCATTGTGTTTCTGGTTCGTCTTTGTCTTCTAGGGCTTGGAAGCGGTTGTTAACTTCCAGGGTAAATTCTTGACATATCTCATCTTTACTGAGTTTGTCAATATCAAATTGGTTTTGTTGTTGTTCTGTTTCCTGATCTTTTTCAATTTCAACTTTATCTTTGCCCTCACCAGGTAATGATCTGAGCCTACATCAGCCCCTCTGAAGCTGCGCACATCCTGGATGGCACTTTGCCATCGTTTACTAATACAGATATAGTCAATTTCATTTGTTGTTCTTCCATCTGGGGATCGCCATGTTTTTTTGTGGATATTTTTATGTTTGAAGAATGTGTTCCCCACACACAACCCATTCTCACTGCAGAAGGACAGTAGACGTTCTCCATTATCGTTTGTTTTCTTTGCTGATCCATGTGGACCTACAGTGCTCTCCAGTCCTGCTCTTTGTGCACCTATTTTTGCATT